CTACATACGTCTTCTCCCACCCGAGCCCAGTCACGCTACCAATCCGTAAATATAAATTTACAGAAAATATCTACCTGGATGAGGACTAACAAACTTGCTCTAAACATTGACAAAACCTACTTCATTCTGTTTGATAACAGAGCTACAGATGTCCCTCTTAACATAATGATAAATGGATCACCTATCACAAAGCTCACAGAGGGAAAATTCTTAGGAATCCACCTTGATAATAGACTCAAATTTCAAACACATATACATATACTGTGTTCCACAGTCAGCCCTCCTGGCCCTATATCATTCACTTATTTACCCCTATCTCACCTATGGAATTTGTGCATGGCGCTCAACAACAATAAACCATCTCAGACCACTAATTACCCAACAAAAGGCTGCAGTGAGAATAACAAATTCCCACTACAGGCAGCACACTCCACCGATGTTCAAAACTCTGAACCTACTCACCATACAAAACATCCATACTTATTACTGCACCTATTACATACATAGAACAGTTAACTCTGATATAAACCCTCCCCTCAAACGTCTCCTTACCAACCTCAACAGAACATGTGGCCATAACACAAGGCACAGATCACTCTTTGATATTCCTCATGTCCATCTCATGCTATGCAAAAACTCAATGCACATAAAAGGCCCTAAAATCTGGAATTCATTACCTGAAAATATAAAAGAAACACTGTTTATAAATTCAAGTCTTCTCAAAAACCACTTACTCACCCACAACCAAATAAATACTGAATAATTGTATCTTATATATTGTATATCTTAAATGCTTCTCATAATTGTATCACATAAATGTTTAACCTGAGACTCCATTCTACTGAATGCACAGCAACACAGAAAATGACCATATGACCCGTCTTAGTAATACTCATTTGTGCCTAATTGTTATGTGTTTACAATAATGTTTTACCACTGAATACATCATTGCTTAGTTAATCTTAAGTTAATTTTAAGCCTGCCCATAAGGCTCTGCATACAAGGGGCTTTGGCATGTTGCACCTAACTGTATTCCTTGTACTTCTCTGTATCATGTTCAAATAAATAAATAAATGCTGAAATAAAGTTACTAACAGATGACTCATTATGTAACCGGAATGTGATCTTAGTTGTGTCTTTGGGGACTTTACCCAAGTTGGGTATGAGAAAGATGGGATAGTGGTCAGTGGTGTTATCAGTGATTATGCCTGCTTTTAACGGGGATATAGTGTTTGTCCAGATATGGTCTAATAAAGAGGCATTTATGTCGGTGATTCTTGTAGGTTTTGTTATTGTTGGTAGAAGTAAGCAGCTGTTCAAAATATTTGTGAATTCAGTCACTTTTGGGTCATGGTCATGGATTAGATTTATGTTGAAGTCCCCTGTAAGTATTAGGTGGTGTTTGTTCATTTCAGCGCTAGTTATTATGTTTCTTAGTTTTTCTCTAAAAGAGTAAATATTGGAGTGAGGAACTCTGTAAATTGTTCCGTCTGTCAGAGGTTTTTGTAAGTTAGTACCTTGATCACTTTGAATTGATTTTGGAATGCCAAAACAAGAAATAAATCTGGTTAAAGCCTTGAGAATGGCTTTAGTATTGATACTGCACATGAGAATTTCTTCTGGGTATCTAGTTACCCTATCCATAATGGTAAATAAGTACTGATTTTCAGACTTGGACTTAGGTAGTGGAAGGAAGGCGGGGTAGGGGTCGGCCTAGGAAAGGTTGGAGAGAGGGGGTAAAGGAGGTTTTGTGTGCGAGGGGCTTGGACTTCCAGCAGGCATGCGTGAGCGTGTTTGATAGGAGTGAATGGAGACAAATGGTTTTTAATACTTGATGTGCTGTTGGAGTGTGAGCAAAGTAACATTTATGAAGGGGTTCAGGGAAACCGGCAGGCCGGACTTGAGTCCTGGAGATGGGAAGTACAGTGCCTGCACTCTGAAGGAGGGGTGTTAATGTTGCAGTTTAAAAACTGTAGTGTAAAGCACCCTTCTGGCAAGACAGTGATGGAGTGAATGATGGTGAAAGTTTTTCTTTTTTGGGCCACCCTGCCTTGGTGGGAATCGGCCAGTGTGATAATAAAAAATAAAAAAACCTACACGTTCTATAATTAATTCTGCAAAAGATTGTCCATCAGCAGGAAATAGGCTGAGAGGTGCAGGTTTAATGGAATGTCCAGGTTTCCCTACTTGTTGACATTCTCAGCAACATCGGATATGATTGTTCGCATCTTGCCTTAATTTTGACCAAAAGAATTCTTTTGTGATTCTATATAATGTTTTAGTAATTCCTAGGTGACTTCCTAATGAAGTATTATGAGCTATATTCAATATTTGAGGTCTAAACTTTGTTGGAACCACTAACCTGTCTGACAGTTGCCTGCCCTCTATCTTGTTACCAGTCTCAGTGTAGATCAAATAGTCGTTTTTAAGTTTTTATTTGACCACATGATCTGAAAAGGATTTACCCATGGCTGCCTGAAAAGTGAAATTCAAAGAAGGGCCCTTTCGTTGTTCCTCCCAGGACAGTCCCTCGGGCATGGAAACAGATATCTGGCAATCCTGCAACCCTAGAATAGGAATGCTTGATCTGGGTCTGCTCACTAAATTTACGAGGCTCTAGCCAGTTTTCCTTGTAAAACAAATTGGCTATTCCGAGATCAGAGTCGTCCAAGGATAGGTCAGCATTCTCCCCAGACAACCCTTGGGATGTTGCCCGAGTTATGGCCAACACCGGAGGAGAATTAATCATTATGAGTTCAGGACATACACTAACAGTGGTAATGTTATTACCCAGTAATAACATGGTATCTTTCATAGGAAATCCTTCGGATACACCTACAGTATAGATTCTATGCAAGAGGACTGAAAATATCACTCCTCCGAAGGCTTCAAGCAAAACGGATGATTGTAATGAAGTGTGTTCAGAAAGGGGAAGTACTTCCTCTCTTATAAGCAAGCAATATGCTCCAGTATCTCTAAAGCTTCTGACTTCAGTTGTTTTTGAGTCTTCCTGAAGGGAAATATGACTCTGACAGTAATAAGGAGCCATCCCTTTCTCTACTTCTTTCAGGGACATGTTACTAGGGACACTATAGATTTTTTCCTAATGGTTGGGCTTTATTTGTGCAATTTGGGCAGATGTGAACTACTTTGTTGCATAGGTAGCAGACAACAGGCTTGACCTTAGCTCCCTGCTGATGTAACTGGTGTCACTCTGGATACTGTTGTTGAGTTGCACCATGTTGAGTGATTTGTCGCTCACCGGGTTGACTGTAAGTTGAGTAGCGTGGCTCACCAGGTGGCTTAATTGGGTGACATAGATGTTCTCCTTCCGGCTGGCACTTCATCCTCCGATGTTGATGATCTCTGCTCATGCCAGGCTGTTGAAAAGAGAAATGGGACCACTTGGACAAGGAGCGGTTGGATTCGAAGGTATCAGCCAACCTGGGTGCCGCCAATGCAGTAGTTAAGTCATGATCCTGCAGAAAGACTCTAACCTCTGGTCCCACAGACTCCAGCAGGTTAACAACTAGGATGAGCTGCACGAGATCATCAAAGGTGGCGACACCACTTGCTTTATACCAGCTGGTAAAAGCTTTGGTCTGCTGTCGCACAAAATCAACCAGAAATTGACCAAGCTTTCATCTGCCTAATTTGAATGACTTCCTACACTTAGCTGGAATGCACTGGTATGCTTCAAGAACTGTGGTCTTCACGGCTTTATAATTGGTAAAATCAGTGTCATTTAATACTGACGTAAACTCTTTGCCTTGCCAAACAATAATGTGTGAACCAGTGACACCCAGTGCTGTTCCGACCACCTCAAGGCTCGAGCCTGATTTTCGAAAGTTTTGAAAAATTGTTCTGGTTCTGCCTCATTGAAGCAGGGAATCAGCTGTACTACTTTCTGTAAACTAGAGTCATTTACAACTTGAGAAAACTGCCTTCTTTCTTTTTTCCTATCAGATTCCTCCTTGGCATATGCCCTCTGTTCCCTAATCTGCTCAAGATTTATTTTTGCCAACTCAAAAGACAACGCAGCCGATTTGCCTTCAGACAACCCTGTCGCATGAGACTGACATTTTTGCTCAGTTGATGTATCATTTTCGTCCAGCGAGAACATCAGGTTTTTACTCCTGGCTCCCGTAGAGGGAGGAGTTTGATGTGCCATCTCTTTACGAAGTTTGATACTTATAAGAACACGAAGCTGGGCAGCTGTGAGAGTGCCTTCGTAATCAATGCCAACGCTATAGAGAAAATTTAGTCAAGTTTTATGAAGTATATTCAGAAGCAAGATGTCTGACTCATCTAGGCGGCATACCCCAGTGTAACATGCTTAGCTATGAACTTCAAAATGGTATACAATACCGACAGGTTGTTAGGTAAGACACATATGCAACAGTTAAAGTTGTCTAACTGTTGCCTATGTGTCTTACCTAACATGCTTAGCTATGCACATTATGACTGCAGAATACTCGTACCCCAACGTAATACGTTACTTGCAATACACGCTTAGCTATGCACAGTACGACTGCAGAATATGCACATACAATAGCAAGACTGGTACACAATAGCAAAGCTGACTGCAAAATATTCACACAGCAGCAAGATTGACCGTAACAAAGTGAGCACAATGAACAAGCTAATAGAAAGCTATCAATGATAATACAATAGCAGGCTGACCTTAAAATGCAAGGCTGACACGCAAAGTTTCGTAAAGCGTTGGCAAAGCTAATGCAATGCCAGGCAGCAAGCTACAGTGTTCCTGCTCCAGCATCACCCTAGACTCAACTTGTGCTCTAAGTCCAGCTCCAGCTCTCGGACAGGCTACCCATATTACAACCCTGGAATTCAAAGGCCTGTTATCCTGGGTGTAAAGGGAGCAAAATAAACACAGCAGAAAAACATTTGACTTATATTATCCTTTCACCAAGTAAGAACAAAAGTATATACACTATATACACTTTGTACATCAATAGGTATTAGTGCACGCCACGGTAAGCAAGGCAGAATAGATGCCACTAGAGAGCAGACAGTGCTTCAACCAGCTCTGGAATGGAAATGACAAGGGCAGACAGACCGGTGGTGCCCACAACACCTCTGCGAGAACCAGAACCATCTTCTCATTGGCTGAACCTGGGTACTGATCGAATGACGGGGCCCCATCGTCCGACCCTAGTACTGGTTCGATGGTTGGGGGAGATAGCCTTTCAGTGAGGGTGTGTACATGCGTTGAATAAAGGTTACATACTCTTTGCATGCTACAGCAATAATATCTATATTACCTGCACTTGTAAGTAATCTTAGCTCATCTATCTTATTTCTTAGACTCCTACTATTTGTTTAGTAAACCTTAAGGGAGCTAGTCACTCGTTGCCCTCTACTGTCTCTCTTTGTTTGTTGAGCAATTGCTTTGCCTTTACTAGCAACTTTATTTTGAATATTGTCTTTTAAACATATTCCTTTGGTATCCTGGTAATATCTGATGCTTTCAACCCTAATACTGCAGCCTGACTGTTTTCCCCCAAACACCCATATCTCTATAATCTATCATTTAAATTCCTAGACACGTCATCAATGACCCCCTCAATCGAATTGTTAATGCAACAACTCCAACCCCAGAGAGATGAACCCCCATCCCTTGCATACTATCATGCTTGCCATAGAATTTGTCCCTGTTATCAATGAATGGAATTGCAAGCTCTTTGCAGTACCTGTCTAGCCAGCAATTTGTACTAATTGTCCTAGACATCCATTCATTGCCCACTCCCCTTCTAGGCGAGATGCTACATATGATTGGGATCCCTCCCTTAGACCTGACTACTATGGCTGACCTGTACTTATCCAGTAGCTTCTGTCTCCTGCCCTTCTCAATGCCATTTCCACCAATACTAAGATAATGGGCTTGTTCCCATTACCTGACATAATATTATCCAACCTACTGACTATATGACCAACACAAGCTCCTGGGAGGCACACCCTTCTGTCTGACTTCTTATCTCTGTTACAGAAAGTACGGTTTGTAATAAAGTTGGTAGAATTACCGACAATATGTAAAGAAAAGGACTCAAGTGCAACTAATGTGACATTTTATTGTGGCAACGTTTCGCTCTCCAGGAGCTTTATCAATCCATTACAAACAATGCATGGACACAGAGGGTATATATGGGCTCAGAGTGAGGTGCAATACTAGTGGTAGTAGTAGTAGTGACATAAGTTGTAGTAGTAGTAGTAATACAATATGGTAGAGCAATTAATTCGTACATGAGTAAAAGGATATAAAAGCTATTACTTGGGTAACATAAAAATAGGTTGGACAAATATAGACTGGATAGAGGCAGCCTGTTTCGGTGTTTACTCTCTGTAATGTGCATTGTGTAGTATAACAGGAGAGACTATGTGATGGCAGGGTTTACTGTTTTCAGGAGGATTCTTGCTAAGACTTCAGAGATGGTGAAGCTGCCGTTGTTTTGTTTAATTGTATTTGAATCAGCACTGATCGCTGTTTCGAGTACAATTAAACAAAACAACGGCAGCTTCACCATCTCTGAAGTCTTAGCAAGAATCCTCCTGAAAACAATAAACCCTGCCATCACATAGTCTCTCCTGTTATACTACACAATGCACATTACAGAGACTAAACACTGAAACAGGCTGCCTCTATCCAGTCTATATTTGTCCATCCTTTTTTTATGTTACCCAAGTAATAGCTTTTATATCCTTTTACTCATGTACGAATTAATTGCTCTACCATATTGTATTACTACTACTACTACTACTACTACTACCACTAGTATTGCACCTCACTCTGAGCCCATATATACCCTCTGTGTCCATGTATTGTTTGTAATGGCTTGATAAAGGTCCTGGAGAGCGAAACATTGCCACAATAAAATGTCACATTAGTTGCACTTGTGTCCTTTTACTTTACAGAAAGTACGGTCCATATATCTTACCTGAAAATCTCCTACAATCAGAATATTCTTACCTTGATTATTAGGGGAGTCAGAGGTACCTTTAACCTCACTAACCACCAAAGTACACTTGTCCTGCAAAACAGAAAATTGATTTCCTACCTTCACATCTTCTCTATTAACCTTCTTTATCTTCTTTCTTCCTGGAACTGTGAACCACTTGCCACTTAAAGCGGCTACCACTGTTTAGCTCACTGCTGGTATCCTCTTCCTCACCAGCTCCCACCATCTCACACTCACTCTCTAACCCATCTAGGCAAAGCTTCAGCCTCCTGTTTTCCTTCTGAAGAAGTAGAACCTCCTTCTTCAACACTTTAAACCTGAGATTCCAAAACACCCCAGCAGGCCATGGTGCTCAGTAACACCCCATGCTAATATGCAGACAGCTTAGGACAGTGACCACACATGACCTCTGACCACAACAACTGACTGACGGATTTAAACTGATTTGAACCTGACTGCCCTTACTGACTGATTTACTGACTGACCTTTAAGTTAGACTTTTTCACTGAAGAGGACCTTGAAACAGTGTCTAAGCAGCTGATGCCTTACTGTCAGTTGTATAATGTACTGCAGAGTAAAAAAAGAAGGAAATCCATTATGGGAATTTAGCTCGCTCGAGTACAACCATTGCCCAGAACCTCTAAAATCCCCTCAGCCCAGTAGAGTTTACAGCATAACTCTCCACTCTCCACAATCATCCCCCAAAAAACCCGCACCCACAATTTAAGGTAAGAAATGCTATTTTTCCTGTTGCATTTGTAATCTTAAGCAGGAAAAAAAAACACAGTACATCACAACAATGATCTACATTTACATATTCCCTGTACAATTCACTTTTTACTAGTACACGTAAATTCTAGCACCCTCAAATCAAGCGGGAAAAGGCTGGTAGGCCTAGAGTGAAAAGAATGGGTCTGCATGGTCTGGGGGCAGTATGAAAAAAACCCGCAGCACACAGTGCATAATGAAAAAAAAAAATCGCTTTTTTTGGTTTAAAAACAGCAAATTTGCAGTCAATTTTTGTATGGTGTTTATGGTTGTATTTTCGTTTTCTTGGTTTCATTTGATAGAATGGAAGATATATTACAGAAATAGAGATAACTTGATTGGTTTCATGATGACAAGTACCTTGAAATTGAGCGCAAAGTAGCGATAATGTTTGATTTTTGCCGATGTTGAAAAGTAAACAAATCACACATGCACCCCAAACCATGTCACTGGTGAGCCCTAATACTTTGCACAAGTGCACTGATATTTTTATACCATTTTTACAATAATGCAGTAGTTTTAATAACGTAAATCTTTTTTTTTTTTAGAAAAAAAATTAAAAAAGGAAAAGCAAAAGTAATTAAGAGGGGCCTAGAGATGGACTAATAACAAAAAATTTTTTTTAGGCAGGAAAGTCTTCTTGCTTATTCGGATCCTTTTTTGAAATTTGGCTTTTTTGAAATTTTGTAAAATTGGAAAATTTTCCCAAATTTGACCGTTCTTTGGGGTAGTTGAAATCAAAAAGGGGCGGTTTCTTGTATTAAAATGATAGAAAAAATGGAATTCTAGTGAAATAGCTTATTTTAGTAGCTGAAACTTTTTGGAATTGGCCAAAAAAGGGCCCCAAAGTGGCAAAACCCCACAACCCCTAAATATTGTTGTTTCCGAAAACTTTGAAGAGCATAATTCCATAATTTTTTTCATCAAATTTCATCATCATTTCATAAGTTTTTTTTTTTTTTTTTTTTTTCCAAAAATTTTAAAACCTGAAAATGAATTTGGAGAGGCCCTCCGACTCTGAAAGGGTAGTGATGGTCAACTGTAAACAAAGGGGGGTTTCTCACAGTTGCTTTTGCTGTGACACTGTGCTTTTGTTAATTCAGAAGTGAAACTGCAGAGGTTGGTAGATAAATTGGTAGGTATGTAAAAGAAGGAATTGAAAGTAAAACATGCAAAAGAGTAAGTTTTGAGGATAAAAAATTTAGCAAATAAAAGTTTGGGATTCAGTTTGGGAAGGAAGGGGGGAAAGTTCAGATTTTGGTAGTGGCTAGTCAGTAGATTGTCTATAAAGATGAGGTGAATCATTGAATGATGGGGGGAAAAATTGGTGGGCACTGATGTTGGGGAGAAAAAGAACATTATCCAGGGTTTTTAAAGGGGGAATTCATGAAAGTTGATATACCAAACCTCTTATGTGGGTGGAAGTACGGGTGTGAATGCGCAACAGAGAAGACTGAGGCAGTGGATATGTGTCTTGGGGGCAGTGTGCATGTAATATAATT